GCTTGCCTTGCTCTCTTGGCTTGCCTTGCTCTCTTGGCTTGCCTTGCTCTCTTGGCTTGCCTTGCTCTCTTGGCTTGCCTTGCTCTTGTCCTGCCCTGCTCGGCTTGCCGTGCTCTTGGCTTGCCCTGCTCTTGGCCGGCCTAGCCAACAAGCCAAGAGCAAGGCAAGCCAAGAGGGCAAGGCAAGCCAAGAGAGCAAGGCAAGCCAAGAGGGCAAGGCAAGCGAAGAGGGCAAGGCAAGCCACGAGGGCAAGGCAAGCCACGAGGGCAAGGCAAGGCAAGCCACGAGGGCAAGGCAAGGCAAGCCAAGAGCACGGCAAGAAGCCGGGAGCAAGGCAAGAGCAAGGCAAGAGCAAGGCCATCCGCGCGGTATGGCGCAGCGCGACGCGTCGCCCGCGGGCACGCAAACGGCTCAACATGAGCACCAAAAAGACGACTGCAACAATTTTCATACCGTCGCGATTCGCAAAAAAGCGCGCAAAAACGCGACGCAAAATGGTTCGCCCCGCGTGCGCCGTAGCACTGGGCGAACCGACAAAGCAGCAGCCGCCTCAAGCAAGCCAAGTCGCATTGCTTGAATTGCCTGAGGCAACGCCAACCACGGGCGGACTGCCTCCATTCCGAAAACACGAAGCGCGACATTTCCGCTATTGCCACGTAAGCCCCAAATCGCAGCGTGCCATCGTGATTCACTTTTTACCTCCCAGCACTCAACGGTCTCATAAAAAAATCATAATTTCGGTGCCGTTTTTTCAGTGCAAAAACGAAACTTCGACGTTTATTTTTGCGAGGCCGAGCAGGAGAGATTTAAAAGAGAAACACACTGCATGCAACTATCGGGGTGAAATAATGCACCAACCTGTTCTTCATCCCAAGGAAAACGAAAAACCAGGATCACTATAGATCAAGACACCCACTCAATTCGGTGAGCCCACCTCTTCGCAAAGACATGAAGGGCGCGAACAGCGAAGATGAACGAATAAACACATCGAAGATGAACAACAACACTGGACAAAGCAGCGAGAACGTCACGTACCAACAAAGTGGAACAAACATAGTGATAGCGTCGTGTGGAGCTGCATCAGATTGGGTTTAGGGTGGAGGACTACCAATCATAGTGCCTAGTGGTGCACCAGATTTCATCCTCCTCGCCCGTTTGACTTTGATCAGCTACAAACAAATTTCCATTGATTTATATTGTCTTTTAGCGACTCCGAGATCTCTTTTTAATCGATCTTGTCGAAGAAATTGGTGATCGTTCACTCGAGATTCCGGCCGTGGAAGAACAAATTCCCGTGGCGAAGGTTTCAGCAGAGAAGCGTGAGCTTCATTTGATTTATCTTTGTTGGACTTGTCAACACAATGTCTTACAACGTATAGTGTCTTTTAACTCTGGCCGTGCCGTCGTGTAATTCGATTTCGAACTGAATTCAAACTGAATTCAAAATGCCTCAGTTTTCAAAAAAACACGGTTGGAAAAGCTTGCTGAGACGCATCGGGCATGGCCTGTAATGCCTCACCCAGAAGCACAGAGACCGCACGCAATTGCGCAAGGGCCTCCGACCAAAAGCCCTCTCATCATGGCCACAGATGCCACCGCGGGCACGGCAGGAAGAGAAGCTCGACAGACGCGCGACATTCTGTACAGACTGGGCAAGGAAGATGAACAGCGCGGCAAGGCTTTGCGGCGTAAGCGGGAAAAGAAGATAGAAGTAGAAAGCGCACTTAGGATGCAACACGACCACGGAAGAGGGAGCTGCTCCGGATTGGTCATCCACATTCGACAAAGATTTTCGAATGAACGAAGCCCCAGCTCTGTTGGCCTCGCACTTGCAGGGCCCATGTGATTCACGGCCAAGGCCTTGCAATCTGAGCAGAAGCGCTCCATGCGGGACGCCGGCTCCCCACCGGCGCCCGTCCATGACCCGCGTCTTTAAATCGCTCGCCGAAACGCCCAAGAGGCCGCGCGCAGGTGGCGTAGGTTCAATCGAATCCAAACCAGCAAGGCTGCACGAAAACGGTCGGCGTCACCTGTGACAACCCACTCTGCTGTTCAGAGGCTGCAACACAGCCCCACGAAACACAATTCGCCACGCCGCCAACGAGCCGACACGGAATGAAAGAGAAGGGCACTGAAAGACACGCGGATATTAGCGCGCGCGGCAGCGCGCGCCAAAAAATGTACAACCTAGCCCAGAGACTCTGTTGCAATCGTAGAAGATGGCATCAGATTGGACCCTAAATTGATCCAACCAATTTCAAACGGAATCCGAATTCCATCCGTTTTTCATCCGAATCCAATTCCTTATTAGGAAAATCGAATTCGGATGGAAATCGGATGGAATTCGGATGCAATTCGGATTCAGTTCGAAATTGGTGGGGCCCCTCCAGGAAGCAACGGATTTGGTTTGAAATTGAAGAGAAGGCCGCGGATTCAGTTTGAATTCGCGGATTCAGTTTGAATTCGCGGATTCGCTTTGAATTCACGGATTCGCTTTGAAATTGAATGCGGGGTCCGTCTCGTGCTACATGTCAGGGCGCATCGCCTTGACATGTGGCGAAGGCTGGACCCAGCCGCCATCCCCTGAGAACCCCAAAGCGTTCCGCCCTCTGCCTCGGCACGCAGTTGATGGTTGGGCCCCGCCCTCTGCAACCCATGCCAATCTTAACCATCACAGCATGTCCAACCGCACAACGCCACTTGCCACCAGCTCACAAAAAACGAACGGAACAGCAAGGCCGTGGAAATGCAGTTGCGGGCACACATTTCCCCCCCAGCCCCCCGCTCGCGCCCCGGGAGCCGCCGGGGCCTTCGCGTCTCGTCACCGGTGCGCTTCATGGGAACATCTGGCCCGCCTAGGGGACAAGGCGGCGCATCAGGCAGCGTGCCTGCAACGTGCCATCAGCAGACGAAGCGGGCTCCTTTGACCCTTTGAAGCCGCCCGCTCCCGTGTTGCCGCCCGAGCCATTTTGGCCGGGTTGGTGTCATACCTGGGCGAGCTCCGAAAATGCAACTCCAACGAAGATCCCCTGTATCCCTCAGACAGGCGCCACACGAAGCTGGCGCACCCAATACCCGCTATCAATTGGGCACAGATGCCACAGCACGGCCCTCGACGATCCGCACAAGCGGGAACATAAGCGCTCCAAAACGTCAAAAGCGCTGGCATTTTGAATTCAGTTTGAAATTGTTTTGAAATCGTTTTTGGTAACGGACGGCCTGGCGTTAAGTGTCTTGAGCCACGAACACAAAGTTACACACGCGCAAGAGAGTTTGGGTGAAACAGGGTTCATTGATGTTTGTGATGTGAAAAGCAAAACAATCAAAACAAGAAAAGAATGAATTTGTAATGCGAGCACTCATGAAAATAGAAAGGACTCGGCTTTTTTTCAGACTTAGCTGGCTCGTTTTGACACATGGAAGCACCACACCGCCGTGATTCGGCTCCGCTCCTGTTCCAGTTTCCACTTTTTCTTCTTGTTTTTTTCTTTATACCGATGCAAGCCTACTCGTTTCTTGTTCGTTCTTTCGTTCCTTTTCATCTCTGTTTCTTCTTGTTCTTATTCTTCTTTGTTCTTCTTCTTCTTCTCTAGGGGTGCGAAAGTTGCGGCATTTTGCTTTCAAAGATCTTCACCGCTGCCACCTAGCCCAAAATGTCGCTGCAGTTCTCTTGCGGCGCGTGTCGCAGCGCTGCCGCACCTTCATCGAAGAGGCGCAGGGCGGAGCACTGCAAGACCCCAGGTCTGTGCGAGTTGGCGACGGCGCAGGTCTCCGACGACGGGGGCTTGCGGCGTGGCTCCATCTACCAGCAACTAACGCAAGGCGCCCGGAGCCTTTCGCCGGCGCAGCAGGCCTTTCTCGATGAGCAGGCGGGCCACTCTGTGGTGGCCTGGGCAGCAAGCGCGGGGAGCGGCAAGACGCATGCTGCCCTGCTGGCCTGTTTTGACATCCCGAGCGACACAGCGGCGCAGGCGCATCTGGGGGCGATGTTGGGGCGGGCGCGTGTCGCATTACGGAAAACCTTGTTCGTGGTGCCCCTTGTCGCCCTTCAGCAGAACCTCTTGGACGCTGTCAACAGTTTGCTCCGGCAAAATGTCGCTACGAGCATCGGGGCTCCTTCGAAAACCTCGAAGCATCTGCACGACAAGTACGCCGTCCATTTCTGTTCGCCGGAAAGGGCGCCGGTTTCCACGCTCCGGGAAGATGGCTACGAGTGTGTCATATTTGATGAGGCGCATCTCTGTGTGCAGTGGGCCGCATTTCGACCGTATGCAGACCTCCTGAAGGAGGTCGGGGCGCAGCTGGCTCTGGGCGAGCGGTTGCGCAAGGTCGTACTCCTTTCCGCGACATTGCCGCCCGCCTTCGTCCGCTCCCTTGGTGCGTCGTTGAGTGTGCCGCCCTTTCCGGTTTCTCGGCATTTTGCCGCAAGCCCCCATCTTTCGCAGACGGTGGAGAAGAGACCGGACGGCTCTGTTTTTTCCGATGACGCGGAGGTTGAATTTCTCGAGAGCGTGCTGGCACGCCCGGAGTTCGGCGCAAACAATGGCGCTGGGCCGGTCATCATCTTCGTCCTAACCCGGCGCTGGTGCAAAAAATTGGCGGCGCGGCTCGGGGCGAAGGCTTTTCATGGAGGATTGCGGCCACAAGCCAAAGGCGCTCTCTACCGGGACATTGCAAAAGCTGCGGGCGATGGCAGCCGCCTGGTCGTGGTCGCTACGAAGGCTTTTGGGGCGGGAATCGACATGGACCTTCGCCGCGGAATCCACTACCAGGTTAGCGCGTTGCTCGATCTCTACCAGGAGTTCTGCCGGTTCGGCCGGCGCGGGAAGGACGCAACGCATGCGCTGCTTCTGCGCGAAACCGACCTGGACTTTCTCCGCCGGCATCGGCGCACGCAGCCCCCCGCCGAAGGCGCCGAGGGCGAGGGGGAGGCTGGCGATGAGTGGCAGGAGTGCTCCCGCGTGGCAGGCGGTGTCTTGGAGTGGCCTGACCACGTAGAGGCCGCCGCGGAGTATGTGGCTCTGATGGAAAATAAAACGCAGCCCGCGTGGGGGTTTCTTGAGAATGCCTTGAACAGTTGATGGCCCCGGACTCGTTTGATAGATGTGCTTCTTCCCAAGATGACAGCTTTTGGCGCGATAAAATGATAGCAGTTTTTGGCGCGATGAAATGCGAAAAGTTTTTGGCGCGATGAAATGAGGCGACAGCTTTTCGCGCGAAAAAGCAAAGCGAAAAAGCAAAGCGAAAAAGCAAAGCGAAAAAGCAAAGC